TTTTTTTTTTTTTTTTTTTTTTTTTTTTTTTTCAGTGACAAAATAAATGCTTCCAAAGATAGACGTTGTCCACAAATGTCTTTTTGAAAAACTTCCACTACAACATCATACAATTTCTTAGAAGCGTGCACCTTCCTGACCAGTACGCACTAGGCTCATAGCCAATACTCACGTGCCAGAAAACCTCACCGTAGGGGAATAGACGGGAGCAATTATGACCATCAGTGCTCAACTCTCGTTACGCTCAGTTTCCCCAGGTAGACAACAAACCAGGCAGTGACCTTTTGATGTACCTGCTGCTCCCTACTTGCGCCCCCCCCCCTCCCCTCTTCCTCTGTTTCCCTCCCTCCCCCTGGAGAAAAGACAGTCGTCCAAGTCATATCCGTCACCCAATTACAGCACCACATCTGACCACTCGTCAGACATTTCCATCTCCGCGCATGGCAGGACGCCTGTTCTCTCTCTCTCTCTCTCTCTCTCTCTCTCTCTCTCTCTCTCTCTCTCTCTCTCTCTCTCTCTCTGTGTGTGTGTGTGTGTGTGTGTGTGTTGCACTGTGTTCGCACCGACGCAAGTTGAATCGGAGAGAGCCATGGCGCTCAAGACAACCCTTACACCTTTGCCTCTTCCGTTATGAAGCTGACAAGGAACTTGAACAGAGGAAGAAGGAAGAGGTTTCACGAGCATCAAGCATTCAGGTGTACCCGCTCACTTGCGAGTAACCTAACCTTTCTTTGGGCCACCGACGACTTAATGCCCTTCCGGTCTGCAGTGATTACCTGCCACTTGGCTCTTGACCACCTTGACCATCCGCTGCTGTCGTGGTTTCAATGGCCAAACGTAAATAAAAGCTAGAACTCAAGTACCCGTAAAAGCCAAAAAAAAACAAAAGGGGTAACCAGAGTGGAGGGGGTCCAAGAGTTGTTATGGGGGTTTGGTGGCCGAGCTGGGGGAGGCGTTGGGACCTGGGTGGGGGAGGTGGTGGCTCTCTCTCTCTGTCTCTCTCTCTCTCTCTCTCTCTGTGTGTGTGTGTGTGTGTGTGTGTGTGTGTGTGTGCGTGTGTGCATGTGTGTGTGTGTGCTGGGGAAGCAGAGGTCTCCAAAAGATCTACAAGCGTCTATTTTTTATTTTATTTTTTGGTTATTGTATGTCGGCAAGACCATCCCTGTGAAAAAAAAAAGAAAAACCCACCCATTTCATTATGTTTTTTTTTGTTTTTTTTTTTGTTTTTTTTTCTTTCTTGTGTGTTTTTTATTTTTTTAAATTATAGCAAATCTTAAAAAAATAGAATAAAAATCATAGGCTTGTAAATCTCAAAAAACTCTACACCCTATATTTTTTAATTTGTTTTCTGCTTATTCTGTTCCAGGGAAAAAATTATTCCTGCGCCCGCTCAGACCGCGCTCAAGCGCTTTTGAGCGCGAGGTTGAGCGGAGCTCAAAAATTTGAGCTCCAACCCCGCGCTCAATCAGCGCGCGGTAACACAGGGCTCCCTGCCCGTCGTCGACAATGCTTTCAACCTTAGCAGACCTTTGATCCAGTTCAACAGCTCGACAGACCAGTTGGCAGGAGTTGTTATGCGATACAAGGAACAGTTCGCGAAGCTGCCTGTTGCCCAACAAGTCGACTGTGCTTTCGTGCCCATCGAGGCGACTTCCAAACGACGCCAAGATCCGCCGACTAGAACGGGTCTGAAGAGGAAGCAAATGGCGACTGGCCCGCCTCCAACGGATGCCTTTGTCCAGGGTCTTGCAGCTCCGGCCTCGCCCTTGCAGGGACAACCTCTGGACTTGGTCGAGCAGTCCAGCGAGGCTACAAAATACGACGATGATGTTATGCGCCGCCAGGCTACTCCCCAACATCGTCTCCAAGGAGGTGCAAGTGCCGTCGATGAAGAGGGAGAGGAGGGCGAACTGGCAAAAGCCGGTGGTGAGGAGGACGACGAGGGCAATGAAGGAGATGCGGATGGTGAAGACGACAACATGGACAACGACGGGAACGTTGGCGGTGATGGAGTCGAAGAGAACCGCTTCTCCCACTGCGAGCGACGACGCAAGGACCACAATGCGCAGGAGTGGCATGTTGACGACGCCTTCGACATTGGTGATGCACGCGCCGTCTGTGGCCAGCCAGCAACCTCCCATGGAGTGTCACAGTCGCATAAACCAGACGAAGGGTGGGGGTGACACAAAAGGCTCAAGGCGAAAGAGAAAGAGGGGAGAAACGTATCTCTCTCCTGCGAGTCAGAAGAAACAAGCAAGGACTGACGCCGCCAATGAGGCTCACGGAGCGTTGACGGCATCCCAGGAAGCGCGGGCTCATCGGAAAACTAGCGGGGGGTGGAAGTGGCAGTCATGGCGGCGGATGGAAAGGCTCATAAAGGATGAGGTCACAAGAGTTGCGGGACTCAGGGGATGAGGGTGAGGGGTTGGGGCCTCGTATGCCCGACGGTGTTGAAGAGGCAGTTCAGCGCTCGTCACCCCTCGACACGACGCATTGTTTCTTCCTCGAATATGATGAGGACGGTTTCGCTAGCGAACACGTGTATGTTGTTAATGTCAGTCACGGGAATTAAACGCATTCCCCATGGGCAGATTCTTTATAACCAGTGTTGTCACAAACCCAGCCTCGGGGGTCCGGTGCGGTGGTCCCCTGACCTCGGCCCGGGAGGGTTAAAAAAAAAAAAAAAAAAAAAAAAAATGCTGGGGGCTGCGCAGCAGAAGCTTGCACCCCCTGAGCCTAACTGCAAATTGCAGTTTTGGGCCCACCTCGGACCCCCCCTGGGGCTACACCCTTCCCTGGTGAGCCCAGGGTGGCCCTGGGCGCGGGGCTGGGGTCGGGGCCGAGCGGGTGCGGGGCCGAGCGGGTGCGGGGCCGGGGATGGCTGGGAGCGGGGGCGGGGTTGCGGGGTCGTTTAAAAAAAAAAAAAAAAAAAAAAAAAAATGCTCGAGGCACTCTGTTGGTTGATGGATCGGCTGATCGGCTGGCTGACTGTTACATCGTGTCATCTTGAATGGAGGTAAGGCTGCTGACCTGAAACGCCCAACGAACAGTAACAGAATGCTCAAGGCAATCGATCGGTTGATTGGTTGCTTGATTGATTGGTTGAATGGTTGCTTGATTGATTGGTTGCTTGATTGCTTGGTTGATCCGTTGATTGATTGTTGCAATGTGTCATCTTGAATGGGGATATGGCTTCTGGCTTTATCTTCACCACGGGTGCAACAGGCACACAGCAGGTAAGAACACAACTTCAACACAGTCTAAAACACCCATAAATTTGATAAACATTGAACTAGCCTAATTTCGTTTTTGTTGTCGTTTTTTATGAGCTGAAACCCAGGTACCTGCCTTGAGCCTGAAGGGTGTGTAGCACTGTGTAGTATGTACTATGTACTTCTAAAGTTCTAAGTTGAAACTGTTACTAAGTACATCATGAGTTCAAAGTTTGAGTTTGAGATTGTGATGGAATCAGATCGATACAATAACGTTAGGCGCTATCTATGTCCACCACTAAGAAAAAAAGGGAAAAAGATACTTGGACGTCCAGCATTTTGTTTCATGATTTCACCATCAACTTTCTAAACCACCAGTACTTGGCCCAGCTATTGGCCGCGGAAAAAAATGGAGTAGAAACGTTTCTACTTGGATGAATTTGGGCGCTCCTGTAGTGGCCCGTACGTTTCCTAAAATCGTGGCGCGTTAACGGGCACGACTTTAGGAAGTACTGGTGGTTTAAGCCAAGGGAACATCAGAGGAGGGCATCATTGCGCAAAATCCTACCCATTGTTAGGTGGGGAAAAACGACAATATGCTATTAAAAAAAAAAAAAAAAAAAAAAAAAAAAAAGGCCCTGGTGATTCAATTGCTTCCATGTAAGATTCCCAGGCCTGCCATGATTGACAAGCAGCTATTTCTTTTCTTTTCTCTTTTTCTTTCCAAAGAAAAAAGGCTCTTAGGTTCCTGGCTCCATATCCCCTCTGGGGAGCATCAGTCCGATTCCTTCACCACCAGCAACTTTCAGAAGGATACACACATAAACAGATGTACCCACACCTCCTTACGTTTAGGTCGAAGGACGCCTTAACCAGTGCTGCAAACCCGGTGGAACCGGGGGGCCTTTCCCCAACAGGAACCGGACCAGTCCTACCGGCCAGTTGACTGGGCCGGTTCCCCGCCGGTTGGCCGTACCGCATCTATTTTTATTTTTTATTTTTTTTGGAAAAGCCCAGGGTGTTGTAGAGGCCAAGGACTAGACATACGGTGATCGCTGGCAGCGGCAGATGGTGGTTGTCCTGACAGGATAGGCCACCTTCCTTACCCTTCCCCACGTCCATGATCCCAGCGCACCCCCTATCCCTACTATCCTACCTCGTGTGACCAGCACTCAGGACCATCACCCTGCCAGTATCGAGGGCAACTTGGACCAGAAAGCAGTGACAAGCACCCCCTAACCCTATCACCCCCACCCCCTTTTTCAAAGTTTTTGGGTGGGAAGTGCCGTCCCTACCCAGCCACTAACACCCCCAGCCCCCAGTTGAAAGTTTTTGGGCGGAAGGTTAACGTTGCAGAAATGTCTGCTGAAGCCCGTGCTTGCTGAAACCCCACCACTAACACCCTCACC